TGTATTTAATGCACTATATTGTTCCATATTAGTGTTATATCTGTCTCTTATACACATCTAGATGTGTATAAGAGACAGGTGTATATACATGTATGTATATACATAATTTTTTTAATTAATCTTATAAATATATCGTTAATAAAAAATAAATTCTGTTTGGTGTGTATTTTGAGTATTATAAGGTAGATGATTTTTTTTTTAGTTGTTTATTTCAGAATTAATAATTAAGTATGTATTTCAGAAATTCCTCTATGTCCTTTAATTTGTTGATTTACTCAGAATTTTGTTTTATCTCATTCATTTTGTTTGTCAATTACTTTTTTGTTTTGCTAAGTTTATCTGAATTTATTGTTTTTTAACGCACTGTCCTTCGACGTGTGCCACTGATCTAAAAGTATACATTCAAATAAATTATTATTAAATAAACAAATAAAATGTTTATATTTTTATATGCATTATTTTCTAATATGGCTGCTCTATTACATTTACTATTGCATTCACAGATAATACTGATATACTTTAATATTTAGGCTATAAATAGGCATATAGTAATTTAATAAAATGTGAATTATCTGAGATTTAAATTTTTATTGTGATTAGTATATTTACTGTTATTATTATTTTAAATATTTGTAATTAATAATATTGTTTGTATGTTTAAAATTGGCGTATTTGATATAATTGATATTACCATGCTATATAAAGTTACTTATAAGATTCAGTTTCAGTTTCATAAGCAATAAGCATAAATAGATAACAGTTTTTTTAGTTTTACTTTATTGAGTTCATTCAAATTAACAACAAGAGTATACAGAGAGACACAAAGTAACATGAAAATTTTACACAGAATGGTGTACCTAGGGGATGTGAGAAGCATTCCCCAGGAAAAATTTGTCTCCACTGAAAAAATTTTAGCAGAAATTTTCTGCTCGTGTATTTTTCATGGTAAATATTTTTTTAAATCTACTCATTTATGTGTTCCAATTGTTTGTCTCAAATGAGCAAGTTTATTTGATAATTAAATTTTGTAATAATTTTTCATCTATTTTCATCCCATGTCACTAAATTCTCATATCTAGCACTCTCTCACATTGTACCTCAATCAGCTTCTCCCAAATGCCCTCCCCCTCTCCTTCCCTCCCCAATGGCAATCCCAGATATATATGACACTGGATGAAAGTATGAATATTTATTGAATTAACAGAGAAATTATCATAAAAGTTGTACATTTTTTTTGGATAATACTCCTACATTGTAATTTGTAAGAATTTTGTAAGAAAATTGTATCCATTACCTTCTCAATTGAAATCCTTCCAAAATAAATTTATAGCACATTAGCATGATTGCAAGCCTTTCAACGTTCAATAATTAATTGTAATTTCATTAAAAATGCTACGTTTATGGTTATTGTGACAGCATTTAGCATATCTTATGGAATAACATGCTTGGCCAGGTGCTCACTTTTATCTAATCCATATATATATATATATACAGTACAGTATGTGCATTTAATTTCTAGGTTCACAGAACAGGCAACTTGTAATACATGTCTGTTTAACTGTCCATAATTTCTTGAGCATTTAGCCCACCCTGTCTATAAGCTTACCATTTAACTTTGTTCATGAAAAATGCTCTACCTGTGTATAAACGCACCCATAATTTTCAGCATTTAAAAACAGAAATTCTTAACTTTGAGCAAGGAGGTATTAAAAAAATTGAGAGGCATAAGCCTTGGAGGACTATTATAGACCTATCCAACTTTAGCATAATGCCTGCATAGCCTATATTCTTACTTTTTTTTCAAATTTGTTGTCTTCATGAAGTCCTCCCCAGCCCCAAAACTGGACAACAAAATCAGCCTGATTTTGTTTTCAAGGATATGCTTATATTCCAGAAACTATGGCATCCATATATTTCAAACAACACAGAATTGTATATACATTAACAAGGGATACCATCAATAGTCATTTACAGTTTACATTTTAAATGTATTGGATTCAGTACCTTCCTTAGTAGAGTGAAGTATAACTGTGACTTATTGGTTGATAAATGCTCACCGTTCAATTTAAAAGTTCAGAGTTCAATCATAAGCTGATGATTCACAGTCAAGAATTACTCTTGAAGGCTTATATGCCTGTGGGTTATAGAGAGCACCAAGAATCTCAAAATTAAAGAGTAGTTTTAAACCCAGAATCAGAAACTTATTTTAAAAAGTAGCACCAGTGTTATGTCCACAATTTTTGTGACCAACAACTGTTATTTGCCCTATATTTATCATTAGATAATGTTTTTATGGTATTATTAAATTCATGTTTTTGTTATCTTGTCATTACATTACACTGTGATTCAGCATTTGCTTTAGGACGTACATTCAGGAGGGGAAAAGCTTTGAAATTGGAGGCTTATGCTCTGATCAGTGTACAGAGAAAAGCACTGGGAGATGAGGGCTAAGTCTCTAGGCGATTATGGATACAGAATTAACAAATACATTTAGCTTCCTTTTTACTGTTGTTGGTTGCTACTGCTCTGAATGTATTATCTCAGCATTTTATGTTTGATAAATTTTCTAAACACAATATAAAATGTTACACGGGATCCGTGCTAGTGGATATTTAGTACGCATCCACCGCCACTTTGTGTCCATATAAATGCGCATCCGTGTAAGATTACCACATATAATATCAAAGAAGAAAAATAGAAGTCACAGTGCTGGTGACATGCCTGAAGCTTTTAGCAGAGATTGGTGAACACTGCTCACAGTGTGTTTTTCACTTTAATGTTTATGTGTATCTACACTGTCTACATATCGATTTTACCGACTTTATACAATGTTTTTATTCACTTGTGTAAAGATGATTTTATCTTGGTAGAAACATCTTCTATAACGTTTAGCGTATGTCCTGTGTAACATTTCATCTTTGTTTTAATCTGGTATAAGGTGACAAAAAATGATTGTTTATGCTTCAAGAGTTAAGGTGACACTGATAATATATTTATTACAAGCTTACAGTAATCCTATCATGCCTGTTGAATATATTGCTGTACATCTCAGTTATAGGATAGCTCATGGCTCCATATTTACCTTAGACACACCCACTGACCCACCCACATTCAAGGGCTAATGAATTATTAAATCATATTTTAAGCTACCAAAACCTAAGTCAAGCATTATTAAAGTTTAACTTCAAATATTGTTTGCATAAAAAATGTTTATAAAAAATTTTTTTTTTTACTTGTGTCTACTTGTTTCAGTTATTATATTTGTGATTGAATAAAAATAACAAATGATAATTAACACCGTGTTATTAAAAGAAATGCATAAAGGTAATATATTAAAGATAATGGAATAAATGGGAAAACAAATAAAAAAATATTTTTCTCTTTATAAATACTCTATATTGCAAGCATTGACAATAATAATTTAATATGTAGCAACCATTTGTCTAATAATGAAATTCAGTTTCGTCAGAGATTGTATGGATTTTTTGGTAAATTACAGTGAAATGTCAGTAGCAGCCTATTAAAAAATTAGGAAAATTTGAATTCTGGATGTAAGTAATCAATTCAAAGTAATTCAAAATTGAGCTTGTAAAAATTATCAGTCCGATGGAATACTGCATTATTTTCTTGTAGCTGACTTCTTCAGTTTCCGCATAAACCTTTGAATTCTTATTCTGTGTGTTAATTAATCAATTATAAGTAATTTAAGATTGAGCTTGTAAAATATCAGTGCGAGTATGTTGCGGAGGAATACCGCATCATTTTCTTGTAGCTGACTTCTTCAATTTCAGCATAAACTGATTCATCATCCATATCAGGGGATACTTGGATTGCAACATGTCGTTTCAGATAAACGCCCTCACGAGGATAGAGTGGTAGTGGTGGTACATTATCCTTTGGTTCGAAATAAACCTCCGGCTGAGCAATGCGAAAAGGTGACTCATAAATTTGCATTCCACGTTTACACATGTGAAAATAACAGAGTGATACTCCAACAAGTAAAGCTGTGAACAGAAGTAATCCTCCAGCTACAGATAATATTGCAGTTGAATTTATCACCCGATTATTAGGTTCGGCATTTCCTACTGTCTGTACCACAGGAGGGTCAACTAAGTTTAAAGCTTCCTTGACAATCAGATATGAATTTGCCTGGACCGCACCAATTTTATTTGCAACCTTACACGTCACCTTTGTTCCGTTCATATATTGCCTCACGTTAGTTATCCGTACCACTTGGTCTGTATTTTCAAGTTTATAAAACGTAGGATCTATATTTGGTACAAATGTCCATTCATACAGAAATGGCTCGGGGTTGGCTGAAGCATAGCAAACCAACAAGGCCTCAGATCCTTCTTGTACTTCAACCGCTGGCTGCATGGATACAGACGGCTCATGTAATATGTCAAGCGGTCCAACTGTGCAATTTCGTGTGACCTGAAGGGACGAAGTTTGGCTACAAACATAAACGTCTCCATTATTTTTTCGAGTAGGTTTAAATGAGTACTGAGAATTGACCAGATCGCCATTACTCGCTGGGCCCTCCCTAGGATTACTAATTAACTTCCCGCGATGATACCATCTCAGATTCACTGGAGGGGTGACTTTCTCGGAAGTGCATATTAGCGTTATCATTTCTCCTTCACGGTGCTGATCCTTAACTAATGTACAGTCTGGATACTGAGGTGCTGGTAAGGCATTTATTGTCAATGTAACAGGATCAGTTTCAGTAAGAATGGTATTCCCTTCAACAACTGCACAAGAATATCCATAGTTCCCATCTGATCGACTCGCTTTCGGGATCACCAGTGTATACATTCCAAGACTTGCTGAGTTCCCGTTCAATTCAAAATGGTCTCTGTATAATTCTATGACATTTATTCCACGACTGATGATCTCATTGTCGCGTCGCCATACTACTTCTTGTCCTTCCGATAGAGTGTTAATATCTACAGTGCAAGAGAGAATGATCTGGTCGCCTTCCCTATCGCTACTTGATGAAGGTACGATTTTGAACACTGGGCCCTCTTCTGCTCTGACAAACCATGTTGTACTTAAGAGTAGTATACTCAACATCAAGATCATTTCAGCTTTTGTGGTTACAGCCATTGAACGTGGCAGCTTCGTAGTAACTGCGGTGTAATGCACTAAAATTTGACTTTGCATCTTATGAGCTTGAAAACGACAATAAGACACAATGCTGAATTATTAAAATATCTTCAGACGGTAATGTATAATATTCTGAAAATTGTACATGGAAAACACCTTTTGTTAGTGACGATTAAGGATCTCTTTAATTTCTTTCAGAATAAGCAGTTTTCCAACGAACATTTATATCAATTTGTATAGAGCCTTTGTGACGTTTCTCCGCTTAATTTATTGTTGCCTAATTATATTGTATGAATTCTATGTCCTTTAAAATTCATTTTAAATTGTTCGGCTGAGGTGATTTTTAACTTGCTTCCATGGAAACGTACTGAATAAAATAAAACTGAAAAGCAGTTATGTTGAGCGACCTCGCAACTGTGAAATATTTCGCCAAGAAATTATGCCTCTTCAGTGTTTTAGCAGGTTAAATATCCAGAAATTTTAAGTACGAGATGAGGTGTTTTTTTTTCTGCGATAAATATCCAAGAATTTTTTTGATCCGATCAGCAATGGTCATTAACTTGTAGTTCATAAAGTTGAAAACCGCTCAAGTTGTGTCACTAAGCAATCCCATTCGTATTTCAGACATCAATATGGGCAAAATGTAAACATAGACTCCTCAGTTTCGTGATAAGGATAAAGCTCCCTTCCAACTGATAGCAGTATTCCAAATGAAAATCATGCCTTCAGTATGTCTATCTGATTTTTTGTGACTACTTTATGTGTAAATCAAATCAACCCAACGCATAACGAAATTAGCAAGATGGGAGCCATGGGTTTTTATTATAGTAAGATAACAACGGCCAAATTGATGTAAGATCTTGTTACCTGTACACAGTAGTCTCATTTCATTGTAAGACGTCGTAAATTAAACCAGCAGACTGGCAAACAAAGAATCGCAGGTTTTGATGAAGGACAAACCAGTAAAAGTAGATTTCTGACATTTTTGTTATTACCGTCTGCATGTTTTCTAGCAAATAAACCAATTACAGACACCCAGATTTCTCGAGTCAGCAAGACTGAAAACAAGTTTCAGTATGGCCAGTCAAGTATTTAGCAATTTGATTTACAACATGTCATAGGTTTTGAAAATCAATAACTGTCTATTAGATTACATTGTCGCCAAACCTGCCACATGTTAATTTTCAACTGAATTAATTTCTGATCGTCCGTGTTTGACTTTTGGATCAATGGTGTACTTTTGCCTATTCAGGCCTCGACTCAATAGTCACTAAAGCCAGTGATTAGCCAAGGCAATAAATATAATTACTGACCATCCTCTCCAATCAGAAGGTCTAGTGTTTGCGTTTACTTTAGATGTGTACCAAATAGCAACCTTCATTTCAAACGTCGAATCAAGAATGATGTGTTAATATACAACTTGAATCTTAAAATTGAGATCAATTTTTTTTTGTTCCAAGTAAATAGAAGGGCATGAGGAGCAGTTGCATCACATTTGGCCTCGTCATTTTTTAATGAAACTTGAGAAAAAGAGAATACTGTATATGATTTGTATGGCTTGGTTGATGACATGGCTAGAGTTGTGAATGTAGAATGAGAGAATGTAATTTGGTGTTCTGTTTCAAAGTTAATAACGATTGTTGATTGATGGTGCTTCATCATGTTTGGCAGTCACGCTCGCAACACACTTAGAAAGAGTTCACCGTCAACTTAGGACAATATGTTATTTGAAATTGGACAATACTATACAATGCTTTTTTGTCTATTTTTCTTGATGATGCTATGATGACATTATCATTATGTAAAGCGCTATGGGCCTAGGATCATTACTATTGATCTCAATTTGTTAAAAATATAAAAGTAAAATAAAAAGTTTATGTTTGTGTAAAACGTACGTAGTTCTTTATATAATTTTTTCAATTTTTTTATGTTTTAACAAAAAAAAAAGAGTGTGCGCTTATGATATGTATAGGGTCTTTACCCTATATTTTATTCATTTGCTTTTATGAAATTTAGAAGTGATTTTTTTTAACAATTTTTTTTTATAGGATTTATAGACAGGTAGATTTTTACTAATGGTTGGTTGTTTCATATATTCTTTTTATTGCTTGTCACTCCAGAACTCCAGACTTGTTTTCTTTCTTGTTTAGATTTTTACGTTACCATTTATGGTGAGCATAGTGCTATTTCTTTTTTGGATGAAGGCTCAAGCCAATAATAATAATAATTAGTACAATTTAATATGTTGTATTGTAGACCTCTTTTGTTTTTTTTTTTAAAAACTGGGATTTTATAAACAGGATAAAGAATATTAACAAGAATGTTTTAACCTTCAAGATGTAAGGTAATACGTATAAATAATAAATTAGTGCTTGTTATTTCTAATCTCATTGAAATTCATTGGTTTGAAATATTGACTAAGCTGGGAATAGCTATCCTGTATAAATTTACATTATTGCGAAAATCTTGATTTAATTAATTGATTCAATTTTCGCAGGCGCATCTAATCCAATTTACTTTTCATAATACAACATATTTTGTTGTTGTAAAAGGCGTACATCCCCTGTGTTGATTTGATTTGTTGCTGAAAATGTTTCAAAGCCATAAATATTCAAGTATATGACATTAGCCAATAATAAAAAAAAAATAAAATTTAGTTTTCTTATCTAGCAAAATGGTTTTCCTAAAAAATGTATCTAGGAGGAGGAAAAAATGTACTGATGAATAAAGAAATACAAATGTTTAAGAAAAATAATCTTAAGATTCTATTGTATGGTCATAAAGCATGCAATAGTGTGATGTAAACAGTTTTGTAATTAGATTGATAAAGAATATTTTTCTTACTTTTTTTCTTTTTTTAAGGGTAGGGGAGGGGAGGGAGATTTAAATTTGTGGTAGGCTAATAAAAATAAATGAAACTATTTTTTTTCTGAAATTTGTTCTTTAATGTGGCAGTGACAGATTCACAAAACAAAGTATCAAAAAAATCTTGCCTTATGGTTGATAATAATAAACTAATGGTTTGGCATTTTTTCAACCATCTTGTTAATACAGCCTGGAGCGCTTGCAAGCCTGCAATGATTCTATTCAAAATATTTTAGAGTACTGGTATTGATTTTTCTTGTGTTATTTCAATACTCCATTTATGAGCTTCCTTTTCTATAGAAATACTCTCATAATATATATAAAATCAGCAAATATGGTGTTTTTTTTTTAGTGTACTGAGAACAAAAGATAATTAAGTGGTCATAAAGTTAATCAAATTAAGTTTAATGAAGAGCTGAAGTGTAGTGGTTTTGCTGCCTTGGGATTAATGAATATTGATATTAAGAATTTTTGTTCTGATTATTGTAAGTAGGTACAGGGTATGTTATATTAAAAATGTTGATTCTTATTATATATACTCATATTGGTCCATTGTTCTAAAATTATAAACAAAAATAATGATGTGAAAACACACTGTTAAAAGAATATTTTATTCAGGAAATGTGTATGTGTTGAGTACTAATGTGAAATTAATTGTCTCTAATTTGATTGAAAAAGAGTCACTGGTCCATTTTGTTTTGCATATTTTTAATATTAGAATATTCCATTTGTGTGCGAAAGGTGTAAAGATTAATTAAAACAAATTCATAGCTAGAAGTATAGTAAATTTTTTAGTTAATTCAATTTCTTACAAATAATAAAAATTTAAAAAAAAAACAGAATTATAAAAATTAAAAATTAAACAATACAAAAAAATACATAATATTGTTAACAATATATTTATAGTTGCTAAATTTAAAATTTAAAAAATTCCAAATTATAAAAAGTACATAAATATGTTATTAACAATATATTAATAGTTGCTAAAATGTTAAACTTTCCCTTCATTAAGTCATGCCCTAACTGTCCATTTCTTCCTATCCGTCTTCATCCCTACCCATTTTACCCTACCTTTCATCCCCATTATTTTTAAAGTAGGCCTATTTACCACATCTTTATCTCATACAATTATTTTACTTATTCGCTTTCAACCCAACTCATTCTCATGTGTCAAATTCATTCTGTAGGTCAGGTTAACACAAGAGCCCTAATATCCAGATCGGGAGCTAACCGTTAGCACCCGAGTGTGAATGAATGATCAGTTAGCGCTAACTGTTACCAGGTTCCAGATACGCTAACGGTTAGCGAAGCGCTATCAATTAGCAAATTGAACACGTTCCTATCATCAACCACTCACACGTACGCGTTTCGAATCTCCAGTTTCCTGTTGCCCATGTGATTCGATCATCATCTTCTTTGTATCTGGATCGGGGATTGTCTTGTATGAACGCATGGCAGCTAACGGTTTAACAGGATCCAGATCCTGCTAACCATTAGCTGCAGTGTGTGAACATGTGTGAACATAGCCACTGTCTCAACTACCAAACCTGGCACTCAGTGACAAGTATATGCTGTAGTTACAGTATTTTCCTGTTACAAAAATAATTGTATTTTTTCTTTAGTTTCATTACCAAAACATCAAGATTCAAAATACTTTAAGAGGCCTACTATCCTTAAGGACATGATGGGATAGGAAGAGAGTCTGCTGATGGAATTTGATATTAATTCCTGATATAAATGATGAAATGTTTATGGCATTTTTATAAACAATAATCGACTATACTAAAATTACTATCACAATATGTCACCTGAAAGAATCTACAGTAGTGAAGAAGCTTGTGAAATTATCTTCAGTGATCCTGCATAATTTTTTTTAATAGTTGTATCGTCTTACCTTGTTTTTTTCCATGCTTGAATTTTATTGTAAATTTGCTTCCTGTGGCATCCGTTTTATTCTGCAATTTTGTAGTTTTCCATTCATTGTATATTTTTCATTTATCTTTTTACTGTCTATATTAATGTAAATGAAATTGGAAATAAATGAATTTTTTTATTTCATTTCATTTTAAGAGCATTTCACATACTTTTTATAATGTAGTGTTATAATGACTTGATTAAGATTAGTCTGTATAGTTTGTATTAACAAATTGAAAAATTAAACTATTTTTACACTGCAAAATTAAAATTGAAAGCATATTTTGTTATAATGTTTAACAGGCGTTCTCATTCAACTTTTGAAATAAAATCGCAAACTGTATTTTATATGTGTTTTATTTTTATTTTAAAATGCATTTTTGATATCGATATCACAATTGGCTTACAAAAAGAAATTTACTATCTGAATATCACTATAAACTCAGAATCTGCAGCCTTTGGCATTTATTAAGATAGTTTTATTTGTTACATCTTCAAGAGTAAAATGAGTAGTAGTAACCTTCAACTTTTGATATCTTGAAGAGATACTCTCCTAAAAAAAAATAGTAATTTGAATAATAATATTCAATACTCGAATTATATATCTATAATTTTCTTATTTATGCAAGTTATATTTTCAATTGAAAATTAAAATAAGGACATATTTTCCTCATCTGTTAAAAGATTTATGATTATAGTACCAGTATGTTGTTCCTATAGACAAATGTAATAGGAAAGTGTGTTCATTATTGGTGCCTCCATTGTTGGGTGGCTCCTTGGGGCACGTCTTGCCCCATATGTGGTGGTGCAAAGTATTTTAGTGTAAATTACATTGAAACAATATATTGTACGTACTATAATTCCAATATTTACATTTGTAGCAGACATTGCTTAAGAATCTTCCTCTGGAATCCCCCCCCCCCCAACTATGGCGTTTGCTAAGGGAGAATAAATCACTGTAAAATGGATCAGTCTATATTTCAAACTCAAAATTTCAAATCATATATGTACATTGAAAAAGAGACAGAAGAACTAATAAATGCTATTCTTTACATACAACATTAAGTTAGCAAGTAATCAATTTGAGGATTGTTGAAGTAAATTTTAATGTTTATTAGGCAACTGATTCATTCAAGTAAATTGTGTCAACTTATAGAATAAATTAATGATCAATCTATTGTTTTAATTTTAAATTAATTTTTAAGTTCTAAATTATTAAAATCTAATTTTTTACAATGATGATGATGGTGGTGGTGGTGACGAAAACCATAATATCTCACAAATATTGAAGTATATTTGACTTTGCAATTTCTAATAGATAAATTTGATTATGTCTCTTAATGTATAAAGAAATGCAGCCATTCAGTATATCTTTGG